AAAGAATCGATATCGGGATAATAATAGATACCCTTTATTTATCTAATATTTATCCTTTATTTTGTACCGATATCTATTCTTTATGTTACCATAGATCCGCCAAATAACTGTAGCAAAACAGATTAATAATGGATACATAAAGGATAGATATCGAGATGATAAAGGGATACCGGTATGTATCCTTTATGTATTTATTGAACCTGTGAAGAGTAAAAAAGTATATATTTATATTGTATATGTTGGTCAAAATAACTAAGAGAGAATACTATAGTTTATAAAATGAGAAAGATATTGTGAAAAAAAGATTAGAAGAAATTAATAATTGTATATATGAACAAGAATTAGGGCAAGATTCTAATAGTCATATTTTGAGTTTTTTGCATAATCAGAAAGAAAAGTTCTTACAAAAATTAAAAATAATAAGAATATTATGATGAGCAGAAAGCATTGGCAAGATTAATAATAGTAAAAATGTAGCTAGAATATAAATTTTGATTGTTTGTTCAGTTATATAATAAGTTATTTGATTGTTTGAAATAAAATAAGGTTGAAGTTGTTATTAAAAATGAAAATAAGTTTTGAGTAAATAGGTTGAAATTATAATTTGAATTTAAAAAAAAGTTTAGAAAAGTAAAAAAAAAAAAAAAAACAGGAAAAGAAAACTTTAAAAAGAAAAGATAAAGAATCAGAGATTTCAGGTACTTAATTAGAAATTATTTTGGAAGAAGGTGAGAATAAATCAGAAGTTTTAGATATTTGGAAATTTAACAAAAAAAGATCATATTAATTGTTGAAATTTGAAGTTTTTAAGAAATATATTTTATAGCTTGTGGGATAGTATTTAGAAAAATTGAAGAGATTGAATAAGTAAAGAATTGTATAATATTAAAATAAGCTATAATGTTAGCAAAATAATAAAGATTTGTAGAAATAGAAGAAGTATATTGTAGACGAAATTAGAATCTGTGCTTGGTTTGTCAATCATCAAGCATGTTTGTGTAATATCTATGTATATGTGTATTGAAGATCCTATAATAAAACTTAGAAGTTTTTAAAACTTTTAACGATGATTTCTCAATAACTACATGATTTAATTTAGTAAGATTTTTTATTTTAATTTCAAAATATTATTGAAATAAAATAAAAAAAATGTTTATTAAATTTGGGTTAGTAGTTTTTGAGAAATTGTCACAAAATGTTTTTTTAAAAAAAAACCAAAAATCTTAGAAAAAAATTGAAATTAGTAAACTTTTTTTTTTGAACTTTAAATGATATTAAACTATTTAAATTTTATGATATTTTTTTTATTTTAATCTGTGAGATTATAAAATTATAATAAAAAAAGGGTTTTATAATTTATTGCAGGGTGCAATGTATTGCACCCCTATAGTTAGTGTTAGGGTTAGTGTTAAAGTTAGTGTTAGTGTTATAGTTAGAGTTAGGTAAAATTGTAAAAGGAGCATTTTTACTTAGTTATACGACAGGGGTTACCCTAGTAAAATTTTGAGATATAGCAAATTTTAAGTAAAGTTACGATTAGTTAGGATTAGAGTTAGGGTTAGGGTTAGGGTTTAGATTAGGGTTAGGTAAAATTGTGTAATGAATATTTTTTGTTAGTCACATGACAGGGTTACTCTAGTAAAATTTTGAGATATAGCTAGGGGTGCAATACATTGCAGGTACAATAAAAAATTAAACTCAAAAAAATTATCAAATTAGAATGGCTTGTTGTGAAAAAAATATTCATTAAAAGTTAAAAAAAAAATTTTATCACAGTTTTATATTTATAGACACCAAACTTTAATGAAAATTACTTGGCACTTACCTAGTTAAATTTGAATAATTTTTTTTATTTTAATACTATAAGCATATAGAATTAAAATAAAAAAAAGTTAATCGAATTTGACTAGGTAAGTGCCAAATAATTTTTGTTCAAAGTTTTGGCTCCTATAAATAAAAAACTGTTATCAACTTTTTTTTAGCTTTTAATGAATATTTCTTGACAACCAGCTATTCAAATTCAATAAATTTTTTTTATTTTGATTCTATAATCCCATTGAATTGAAATAAAAAAAAACTCATCAAATTTAGATAGGTTAATATCAAGAAATCACCATTTAAAAGTTCAAAAAATAAAAATTTCACCGATTTTAGTTTTTTTTTCAAAGATTTTTTAGTTTTTTTTTTTATATTTTTTCTATGATTTCTCAAAACCTACTAAACCAAATTTAATAAACTTTTTTTTATTTTAATTCTATGACATTATGAAATTAAAATAAAAAAAAATTTACTGAAATTAATTCAAGAAATCATCGCTAGAAGTTTTAAAAAACATTCAAATTTTATTAATAGGATCTTTGATACGCACATATGTAAATGTTACACAAACATACATGATGATCAACAAACTGAGCACAGATTCTAATTTTGCATTTTTAAGATTAAAATTGGTTATATTATCACTTGTAGCAGCTTTCTTAAGAAATTGTTGAAAAAAAGTATAATAGAAAAATGGTTCATGTTTGAAATTGGTTGGAATATTATTAAGTTGCATAAATTGTTGTTCTGCTTGATAAGCTAGTTCTTTAAGAGATTTGAAATGAAATGGTTTAAATAATGTAGTGGATAATGATTGATTTGGTTCAAAAGCAGGTTTTCCTAGTCCACTCCCCAAATGACCCTCAAAAAACCCCAGTCATTTCTAAATGACCATGGCCATTTGTCACAAGTAATTTCCAAATGATGCAAAATTGTGATGACCGATAATGACCAGTCATTTGAAAAATTTGCAAATGATCAGGTCATTTATCATCACTGGCATTTAACCTGTTGAAAGTGATAATTTAGTAGTCAATATAGTGTTATACAAAAAACGAGAAATAAAAAATTCATAAGAAAGCTGCACGATTTATTTTTCGAAGTTATATTGTTTAAATTTTCAGGATAAATTTATAAATTAACGAAAAATATACCATGTAAAAAAATAAATTCCATTATTACATATAATCTAATAAACATGGTATTTTTTCTTTGTTGTACAGATTAAGAAAGCTGAATCTAATTCCTTTTCTATTTTGACCTGGGTAGAATCTTTTTAAAACAGAAAAATTGACAGTCTTTCTATTAACAACGATAAATAAAGGACCATATCTTTAAACTTAAAGTATTCAAAATTAACGAGAATCTGACTTATTGGATGCAGCAAATAATGCTAAATCCAGTAATTAGATATTATATTATTTTACTAGAACATATATATGAGAATTTGCCTACAATGAATTAAATTGACATGTTTATCGAGTTCTGTATTTCTTCAGAGAATATAATTTTTACCGCCACTACGGCGCACCAATTTGGCATACATTCTCCGGATGTACCATTTTTTCGAGGTGACTTTAGGGTTGTTATTCCGTGCCTTGTGCTCATGTGACCTCCTGCTATCAGTTGCCCCGTTAGCCTGATGTGATTTGAGGTTAGCACCGGTTAATAAATTTATAAACGGGTGGATAAATCGATGCCTAAATTTTTTGAGTCCTATCTCGAGCATTTCTATTTATAGCTTGCCCACCATTGGTACTTGAATCTTGTAGGCTTAAAAGGTCTTGATAAACTTGTTGAATATCTGGGCGGTTATTAGGATCATGCTGCCAACAACCTATTTTTGATTAAAATTATTTTTAGTTTTCAAAAATAAAAAATGATACAATAAGTAATTTTTATACCTGTATAGATCTTAACATATGCCGGTGGAGTTCCTTCAATAGGACTTTCACGATTATGCTTGCCTATATGTGCAGCTAATGGTATAGGGGTTTCAACCATGCTCTTAAAGGGTGGATAACCGCTAGATATTTCCCACATAAGAACACCAACACTATATACGTCAGATTTTTTGTCAAATCTAAATGTTGGATCTTCAAAATTCTGTGGATCAACATATGGAATAATCCCACAAAATTTTTGGGTTGTATTTGTCGCTTCATCTAATCTCTTCGAGATTCCAAAATCCGAAATCTTAATACACATTTTATGAATAAGTATATTTTCCGAGTGCTATTTAAAATTATAAATAGTTGAGATTGATAAAAATAACAAAAGTCATAAGCAATATATTCGAAAATTACCAGATCATGATGTATTATATCTTCAGAATGCAACCATTTAACCGCACTGGCAATTTGTAATGCAAAATTGATCTTATCATTCCAAGAAAGATGGTTAAAATTATCTTGTAAATACGATTTTAAAGTGCCGCTGTCAGCATATTCAAGAACTGCATGTAATGTACAGAGCCCAAATTTTTTTCGTCTATTATATACAATAATATTATATATATGTATTTAATTTAATTTATTAAATCAAATCAATTTATTTTTTTATTATGAAATTAACTTGGTGACTTTACCTTTATTTTTAGTAACACCGTATAGACGTATAATGTTAGGATGTATATCCACTCTACTGTGTAATTTAAGCTACAGTTATATTTGATAAAAAATCATCATTATTATGGTTTATATGGTTATTGATAGCATTAAGTAAATAAACTACCTCTTTAACGGCCTCTTTAATGGCCACATCATTTTTAAATGATTTTAATGCGACAATAACTTCACTATTTCTGCGAATAGCACGGTACACTTTTCCGGATCCTCCTTCGCCAATCAACTCATAATCTTTGAAACAAGAACGTTCATATAATTTGATATGTTCTTCAATTAAATCATCAGGTGGGTTTATGCCTCGCATTGAAGAATGTTCCCACGGATGATCAATGTTTAAAAAGTAGTTGAGTAACGAGATTTGATTTGTGCGAAAGGATGTAGTTTATAAAAGAGAAACAAGAATAATATTCCTTTGTAGAAATGTGTTTCTGGAAACGTAAAATTTTACGGATTCTAACTTTCTAGATGAATGTTGGTGGGCTTTCTATATGGTAAAAGCCAAGGTGCGTTCAATGGTTGCAACTCTATAATAATGCATTTACGGGCGATATGAACTCTTATTAAAATCAAAAATACAATAATTAATTAGTTATAAGAAAGAAAAAGACAAGTATTTAAACTAAATTAAACCGCTCTTGATCAAAGAATGGAGGCTTTTAGATAGAGAAGGGTGGATGAATACTTTGAACTTATTGTGCTTCGACGCAGTTAAAATTAACAATAAAATTATATGAAACTTTCAGAACTATGTAATTTCAAGAGCAGAGTTTCGATTTTAAGGAAGTTCAAAAGGCAAATTAGAGCTTATTGTTATATACAAAAAAACAGTTGTGTGATACTAAGAATAATTAAAATTATACCTAAATATATAATTATTGTTATTAATCTGATTAATCATTACTATGCACAAAAATCAATCAGATAAGATCCTTTTGCATGTTTGTAACCAGTTATCAGATTTGCATTTACATAATTAAATAGTTTAATGCATCAGGAGACTGTGTACCACCAGACTGGTGTGACATAATGGCTGAATAGAATTTTGATTCTCCGATGGCTCACCAATAAATTACTTTGATTTAAATTTGTTTAATCAATTTTGTATCATGAGATAACGATAAGATCTTTTTGAATGTTTGCACGTTCATAATAACGATTATCAGATTTGTAGGTATGCTTATTGAGTGATAGCGGCACTTCCAATACTAGTTATTATTTAATTATTTATATTATTTATTTATTTACTCTTTTTTTCTTACTGTGTCATCAGGCTGGTGTGACAGTGAAATAATGGTTGAATAGAAATTTGATTCTCCGATTACTCACCAATAAATATATATGACTACACGAACTTAAAGATCATGTTTGTTTGATTAATACATTATGACTTAATTATGATCCAATTGTTGTATATAATATTATGTTTACAAATTCAGTTCGTGGAAGACCCCTTTAAAAGAAATCCGTTTAAACTTTAAAAAGTTACTAATTATTTTAAGAATATATGGAGTGCTCCTCGTATTAAAAAGGCCCATTTTGCAATATAAACAATGGGTAAATCTAATTTAAGTAATCTAAAAATAGAAACAAATAAACTTTCAACTAGAAGTTCATTTGTGAATCTTTTTGTTATATAATTAGCTTTCGTAAACTTTTTATTGAATTATATCTATTCAAAAATGTCAAATTGACCCTTCTAGCCCATATAAGATTTACTAAAAGCTCAAAAATAGGATTCTGGCTCTTCAAATAATTCATTCGCAAAAGAAATCTATTTAATAATCGAAGCTTACACAGTGGTATTGTAAACCTTGGACTTTTAATACCAACGAATGTAAAACTAATACAGAATGAAAGGTTATATTGGTCGATATTGTAAGCAAATTTCGCATTTAAATTGTAATAGTTTTGATAAAAATTAAAAGCGATCAAATATAAATTTTTTGATTTTTTTTTATGTAATATCTAATCAAAATTATATAGCACCGTTTTTTTAAAAAAAATTTTCTCGGCTGAAAATTAAAATTAGCTAATCAGAGGAATATTTCAATTTCAGTATCAGGCGTCAATATTTTAAAAAGGTTTAAAACAATAATAATGGTTAGTTTATCCCGTTTTTTTTTTTATCGTCCCTGCTTGTCGAATGATTAAACCAGGTAATTTATTGCAAAATAGCAAAAAGAAAAAACCATTCTAAAAAGGTTTATTACAGTATGTTATGTTTATGAAAATCAATATTAAAATCTAAGATCTTGATTTAGTAAGTTTATAAAACCAACGCATACATAATAATGAGGAATGATTTTATATTGATTTAAAAAATAGTAAACTATGTTAACGTTGAAGATTTAAACTTAAACTGGTTATTATGCTTATATTTAAATCGAACATACATAATAAAAATGGCGCAGCTGAAGCTGAAATTTGGGGATTCGATTTAAAAACATAAGCCCTGCTAAAATCCACCTATACTCTTTAAATATCAAATCTAACCCTAAACCCTAACCCTAAAAAGAAGTGAAGAAAAGCACCTCAAAAAATTTTAAATTTCATATAAAAATAGGTTCAAATTTCAGCATCAGCCGCGTCAATTAATAGTTCTAAATTTATTGAAGAAATAATTCATCACTTCTTTCAATTTATTGTCTGAGTGTGTGTGCATAAATTGCGAATTTTGATTGGTTAATCGGCAAAACCAACTGGCTGATCCGGTTTATTGTTTTCTTTATTTTGGTCAATAAATGAAATATGCTAATCATTCGTTTCACAAATTTATGGGGTTTAATAATAAAAAGTACAGTTATGAATAATCTTATATGGGGATGGGACTAGGAAAACCGGTCTTTTTTACAGACTGTTTGAGCTTTAGAAAAATGTGATTAATGTTTGTGTTGCATGAATTTTTATTAATTTATTTTTAGAATTATTACATCATAAAAATTTTTGTGATTATTAATATTGTAATATGATAATATCGAAATATTAAAAAATCCTCGTAACAATAGTATCGGAATATAAAAATGCCAAGAGAAAATGAGTTCTCGGTATTTTTTTGTCTTTTTCGTATTACTCATTTTTAGGTACGTACGTACGTAACCGTATTTTATCAGTTATTAAATTTTTTGTAATAGGTTTTTATATCACACTTCGAATCACGTAATTTATTTAATTGGTCAAATTTGATCTATTTTAGAACATCGAGCTTTTTTTTCAATCGAAAAATCTCGATAATCAACTAAATTAATGTAAAATAAAAAGTACTTTAATTTGAATTGAAAATCTTAAAATTGACCATAAAGTGACAAAGCCTGGGTTTCCTAGTTCATTCCCATATTATCGTTACTAATCATTCGATGAATTGCTAATCAAACAGATAACGTAAAATCTAATGGATTTTGTCAACATGGAGACTTTCTCAAATTTTGGAAAGGTTCGAATTTGTCATGCACATGACACTTTGTTGATTAGATAATATTTGAACTCGGTCGAATTTTAAGAAAATCTTTATACCCAAGTATCAACTAACGCAAATAACTGTGAATAAGGAAGTATAGTACTATTTGCCTTTTTTTGGATAGTTTAGTATAAATACTTACATTTTTTGAATATTGTATGTTCTGTTTTATCTCTCATTAGCGCTCCTTGCTTGAATTTCCTCTAGCATAATCAAAGCTTTTATACTAACGATACTGGGCTTATACTGTTGAACCTCCCAAAATCGATTCTCTCAAAATCAATAACCTGTCAAATATCTGATGAAAAATTAGTTCACCAAGTCCGTTTCCGTTATATAAATCTGATAGTTTATGATTTTTCAAATCTGATAACCTCTCAATTAGGGTTGTTGGCGCAAATATTTTTTAATGGCATGCCATTAATATGTTTTGGCGCATGGCACGCCATATGGTGTATCATCCATATAATATTTCTACAAAATTTAGATTATAAGATTTTAGTACTAAAAAAATCAATTCCAGTAATTCTCCGATGACCCTGCCCATATTTTATGTTCGCTGACTGTCTACCATTCCGAAATTTTCTGATAGTAGACGTACGATAACCAGCGTTTAAAATTCAGATCGAAACTTCATGCACAAATGCAGTGTGTCATAGGTTTTGGTTGCACAAACCAACTAATAGTTGTACGCATGTGTATATATATAATTTATTTTTAAATATCTGATATACATATTTATCATTTCTAAATGATACCAACGTTATACAATTACTATACCAAATCGGAATATTCTCAAATTTAAGCTCGACCTTGCTCGTATTTTATTTTCATTCATTTTACTTTCAGAGCTTTTCAGACCATCTTTATATTTTTTTTATCTTATACTTAGACTAAATTTTGTGCAATAAAGTTTTATAATTTCTCTTGCACGTTATTTTTTGTGCAAGCTCCTTGTTTAAATTTAATTGCACACTTGTGCATATACGTTTAGAATTTCTCTTGCACAAAAAAAAACTACTTGCACATGTGCATCTTGTGCAAGGTAATTTTAAACACTGGCGACAATAATAACCATAACTTCACACGGTTACCTGATCCACTGTGCGCCCGATCAAAAATGACAAACTCTAGAACTTTTTTTATTAATGCCATAGTGCCAGAAATTCCATATTTTTAAGAAAATGTATTGGAACTAAGTTTCATTGTGATTGGCTCTCCATATTCGCGCCATATTTAAATTGGCATGCCTATTTTAAAACATCATTTATGACGCCATCTACCTTGCGTCAACAAACCTACTCTCAATACTGATACAAAATCTGTCCACAGTTTGGGAGGTTCAACAGTAATTTATTGTATAAGTGAATAAGGTATTACGCATCTAAAAGCATAGTCTTCGTATATGATCATGCTCCTGCCCTTCATCTTACCTGCGCTATAACATATCTGCACCCATTATTTCAATTTATCTTGCTCTGAAATTCTTTTATTTATAAAGAGTAAAATGCAAATAGGATTTTGGGGCTTAAGCAGCGTAACACTCGTAGATTGCTAAAGCTAGTTAATTTGCTTCAGGTAAGATGTTGTATATATTATTATTGCTTGCATTTACTTAATATGCTAAACAAATGTAATGATTTCTTGCTTTATCAATAATCATTCCACTGATAGCCCATTTAGCTGATATCATATGTTAGGGTTTGCTTAACATGATGTTGACGAAATGAGCTGTCAGTGAAGTAAGAGAGAATTGCTAATTACAGTGCAATTAAAGTACTTCCTATAAGCCCTAAACAAATGTCCTGAATTAGATTCTACTGTATAAAAATTATATATACAATAAAATAATTCGAAAGGCAAAAATGCTTTGTAAAGTTTATATCTACTTAAATATCTTAATACGCAGTAACTGCATAGTAACGACGTAGTAATACATACTACATTGTTACTATGCAGTCACTGCGTATTAAGAGGTTCAAAGTTTCTGTATAATAACTTTTATAATTTAACTAGTTTGGCAGGTCACCTAAAGGCAGCTGGGTGATTTCAGGCTTGCAAATTAAGAGCAAACAAGTATATGAATGTAATAATATACTTAGAATTCTAATAAAGTACTGAAAAAACTGCCTAAGAGGAAAAAAAAAAGTATGTTACATTTTAATAGAGTTGCATTTAAAACAATCTGATTGTATAATATAGTCTAAGCTTATAGATCTTGAAACATATTTAATTCAAAATTATTTTATTAATATAGTAAAGAAATAATTTACCTTTACAAAAACAATGCATTTCGCACTTTTGACATTTAACGCAAGTTGTATCCAATCCACATCTTAAATTACTGATTACAGCTAGCGCCTTGATTAAATAAAGTTATTGGTAATCAGTTATATTGCAGGCAAAGCTTAGAAAGGTTTGGTGTGTATGTTTATGTCATAAAGTTATTTTAATCAATAAAAAATATTTTATTTGCCTTTACAAAAACAATGCATCTCACCCTTACTACATTTAAAGCAACTTGTATCCATTCCACATTTAGTATTTGAGCGGGTTTTTTGATTACAGCTAGTGCCTTTATTAAATAAAGTTATTAGTAATTAATTATATTACAGGTTAAGCTTAGAAAGTTTGCGTGTATGTTTATGTCGTAAGTTATTTTAAGTAATAAAAATTATTTTATTTACCTTTACAAAAACAATGCATCTCGCACTTACTACATTTAAAGCAACTTGTATCCATTCCACATTTGGTATTTGAGCGGGTTTTTTGATTACAGCTAGTGCCTTGATTAAATAAAGATATTAATAATTAATTATATTGCAAGCTAAGCTTAGAAAGTTTTGGTGCGTATGTTTATGTCGTAAAGTTATTTTAATTAATAAAAATTTTTTATTTACCTTTACAAAAACAATGCATCTCGCACTTATTACATTTAGAGCAACTTGTATCCATTCCACATTTAGTATTTAAGCGGGGTTTTTTATTACAGGTGGAGCCTTAGTTAAATGGAATCATTAACAATAAATATAAGTTTTAACAATTAAATTTTAATAAATTGTGTATAATATAACTACAGTCAGATCTCATGAAATAACATCATAAAAACCTAACTTTTGATAACTTGGATTTAAAAAATGCATTTATGAGACCCCACTATATATATTTCGCCAGAGCTAAAGATTCATTCAAAGATCTAACTGTATAATACGTTTGAACTTATAAAGGTTTTGATGCATGCTTAAGTTATTGAATTCTTTTTATTTCTCTTTACAAGAACAATGCATATTGCACTTTTGACATCCTAAAACAAGAAATCGATATTTATCATTACAGAAACAATGCATTTCGCACTTACTACATTCAAAACAACTTGTATCCATACCATATTTAGTATTTGAGCGGGTATATTGATTACAGGTAGTGCCTTGATTAGGTAAAGTTATTAGTAATAAATATAATTTTCAACTGAATTCTATTTAATAACTCTATGCATAATACTAATTAATTTACAGTTTGACTTATAAAAGTTTCGATACATATTTAAGTCACAGTTATTTATTTATAGCGGTTTAAAAATTCTGTATCCTTGTGATCGTTAAAGTGATGATCATCGATCATTCATTTGATTGTAACTGTAGTGCAGATATACGCGTAAGGATGTCAAACAATCTTTTATGATTGAATCTTGACAAATCCCTAAAATAATCGATCAAAACTCAATCAAAAGGTAGTTTGACATTCTTACACGTAATAGAATCGCCTACAGTATTTTTAAACCGCGATAATTAAATATTAAACCTTTATCGTATAAATAGAGATTTTACTTACCTTTACAGAAACAATGCATATTGCACTTCTTACATTTAAAGCATGTTGTATCGTTTCCACACTTAGTATTAAAGCAGGTATTTTGATCCTTGATTAAATAATTCTTATTTTTTTTTTTTGAATTTCCCAGATGCTCACGTCTGAGGCGCTAGTGGCGCACTTTTATTAAGGTCTTATGTTATTACAGTGAATTTAAGTTTATATACTAAGTACTACGTACATTACTACCCACAGTGGTGTTCCCCAGCCCTTAATACCACGTGTCCGATAAGTCTACCTTTTTAGTAGCCCGGGTCCCTGGTTAAATAATTATTTGAATTAGTAACTGTAAATATAATTGTTATAATTGAATCCTGTATTAATCTTGAATTATCTCTATTGCAATTTTATAAAAAAAAGCTTTTAATTACCTTCGCAAAAACAATGCATATTACACTTGTTACATTTAAAACAAGCTGTATCGCTTCCGCATCTAGTATTGAACCGAGTATTTTGGATGCAGGTAGAGCCTTCATTAATAATAAAAAGTATTAATAATGATTAATTTTTAAATTCTATTTTTGTGATAACGATGTATAACCGATAATACTTATAACTCATAAAAGTTTTGACATATTTTAAGTTACTAAATCATAAAACAAAATCTTAAAAATTTACCTTTGCAGAAGCAATGCATAGAGCACTTGGTACATTTAGAACAACTTGAACTCGATCCACACCTAGTATTGAAGCGGGTAGTTTGATTACAAGTAGATCCTTGATTAAATAAAATTATTTGCATCAGTAAACTGTAAATATAATTGTTATGATTGAATACTGTATTGAACTTGAATTATCTTTATTACAGTTTTATAAAAGATAATTTCAAATAATATAAAAAAAAAACTTTTAATTACCTTTGCAAAAACAATGCATGCTACACTTGTTACATTTAAAACAAGCTGTATCGCTTCCACATCTAGTATTGAACCGAGTATTTTGGATGCAGGTAGA